TTTTTTGGGTCTGGTTGTGGGGCCTAAACTCTGGGCCTGGGCGCTGTCCCTCAGCTCTTCAGCTCAAGGCTAGCACTCTACCACTTGAGCCACAGCGCCACTTCTGGCTTTTTTCTTGTTGCTTATGTGGTGCTGAGGAATCGAACCCAGGGCCTCATGCATGTGAAGCAAGCACTCTACCACTGAGCCACCTTCCCAGCCCTAAGAAGAAACTTCTCTAGGGAAAGTCAATTGTCTGTCTGTGACAAGGTTTTCCTATTATAACCCAGGTTGGCCTTGAACTTTTGATCCTGCTGCTTCCCTGTCTCTACAGTTATGGGATTACAGGTGTGTACAACCATACCTAGCTGCAAACATTAATATTTAGACATCTTAAAGCCACATTTATTGAAGTCTTTCTATCCCACAGATTTACTGTGATAAAATCGAGTTCATTGTTAATTGTTCTGTTTTGCAAACAAAAGTCGTTTCACTTTTCTACGTACATATAGATAGACATACAAATTTACATACATATTCACATATATGCATGTTTGTAGCATGGATTATTTTAGGTTTGTTGTTTTTTTTGTAAACTTATAGACATTTTATTTAACTTGCTCTCCATCGATATGAAATGTCCTGGTGATAATGGCTCATTTGCAGGGACAACTGAGAAAGTGCCAGCTCAGGCACAGCTCTCTATACTTGGTGGATTTTAACCCTCCCAGTGCCCAAGACTTCACAGCCTTAACAGTTCCATGTTACTCTGGCCTGGCAACCCTGCTCCTTTTCCTTAAAGGGACAAAGTCTGGCTTTCAGCTCAGCCTTGGAGCAAGTTGGTTTGTTAAATGACTCAAAAAGTTCTCGGGGGGGGGGGGCTGGGAATGTGGCTTAGTGGTAGAATGCTTGCCTAGCATGCATAAAGCCCTTGGTTCAATTCTTCAGTACCATATAAACATAAAAACCCAGAAGTAGTGCTGTGGTTCAAGTGGTAGAGTGCTAGCCTTGAGCAAAAAAAGCTCAGGGACAGAGCCTAGGCCCTGAGTTCAAGTCCCAGGCCCAGTACTAAAACAAAAATAAAACGAACAACTAACTCTCAAGAGGTGATACTGATATGGGGCTGTTGAGAAACTCCTTATAATACTGGAGCACTGAAAACAAAGGTAAGAGAGCACAAACTTTAGTGTCTGATGTACCTGTACCTCTCAAAATAGTCATTGAGATCAATTATGTGTCATTTTGGAAAGCTGTTTATCATGTTAAGTGAAAAGAAAGCATGGTGAAAAGTGTAATTTTAGTTATACTGACATAAAACGAGCAAGAGCAAGGAGACTTGTGAAGCTGAAGCTTCCAAAGATGCTAAAATTAAGTTCATAAAAATTACTTCATATGTATTATTATGATACGTTTCTTTGTTTCAAACCTTATTATTAAGTTAGGTACTGATGGCTCACATCTGTAATCCTAGCTACTCGGAGGCTGAGATCTAAGTTCAAAGCCAGCCCAGGCAGGAAAGGCCATTGTAAATTAGTAAATTAGTAAACTAGTAAATTAGTGATGTAAGGAGCATCAGAGCTATTAGAGAGAAATGGATCATATGTACCCTGCTGAAATACAATCAGATCTTCAGTAATTCTGGAAGACTGTCCTGATTTCTGAGGAAAGAAGTGACTCACTAGTTGAACAATCAAACTCATCTTTAACGAATGGACCTGTTTTTAACTCTCAGGTCTCCCTGTTGAGTTGAGAGTTGGGTCCCTGCTGTGCCTTAGGGATAGTTCTGCAGCCTCTCTGATGCTATGCATTTCTAGGGTTCCAGAAGAGTAGAGAAACGCAGCAATCTTTACACAAAGGACTGTGCCCCTCCAAGCTTCAGGAAAGGACTTTGATCCACATAGAAATCTCAGAGCAAACACAGGTTTCTGTCTTCTTCTCCATGTATTGTTTATTCCAGCTCCCTCTCCCATTCAGGGCAGGAGATGGGATGGTCCAGCATTAAACTTTATTACCCTTCTCACTGAAACCCAAGGTGGCTGGGCAAGGGTGCGGTAGGGAGTCCTACCTCCTATAAACCATGAGTCACCGATCATCTCCCTCTGGTACTCCAGCAAGTCTCTGTTTTCCCCTGATACTACAGAGCAGAATCTTGGTGTGGTCCACCCTTCCTCTCTCACCCACAGGTGGCAAGAAGTTTGGCCTTTCCTTTCTTTCTTTCCTTCCTTCTTTCCTTTCCTTCCTTTCTTCTTTCTTTCTTTCCTTCTTTCTTTCCTTTTTCCTTCCTTCCTTCCTTCCTTCCTTCCTTCCTTCCTTCCTTCCTTCCTTCCTTCCTTCCTTCCTTACTTCCTTCCTTGTCCTGGGGCTTGAACTCAGGGCCTAGGAGCTGTCTCTGAGCTTCTTTTGCTCAAGGTTAGTGCTCTACCACTTGAGCCACAGCTCCACTTCTGGCTTTTCCTCTTTATGTGGTACTGAGAAATTGAACCCAGGGCTTCATGCATGCTAGGCAAGCACTCTACCACTAAGCCACATTCCCAGCCCCGAAGCTGGCCTTTATTATACATGGCAGAGGCCAAAGAACAACAGCATTGGAAAACAGCTAACATGGACCTTGGGCTCCAAAACATGTTATGAGCTTCACGTGTTTTTCCCTTAGTACCCCATTTACTGAAGAGGAAACTGAGGAAGGTGCAAACATTGAGTCTTGAATGTTTAAACAAAACATTTATACATAAATTCATGTGCCTTCAGGCCCAGGCCAGTGGTATGAGTATGGGAAGTGAGTTGGCTGGGGCTTTGATGAGCTGGCACACATGGGCAGCACTGACTCAATGTTATGGATGGGTGCAGTGTTGCCAGAAATGCCCATTTGCTCTTTCTTTGTTGCCATGTTGCTGAACATTGATCCCAAGGTCACAAGCATGCTTGCCAAACAGTTTTCCATTTGAGCCATGCCTATAGCCTTTAAAAGTTTGTTTTTGAAACAGGGCTTCAAGAACTTTGCCAGGAGCTAAGGGCCATGGCTCATATGTATAATTCTAGCTACTCAGAAGGCTTAGATTTCTTGAAAAAGAGGTTTGGAGCCAATCTGGCCACACAAAACTATGAAGATATGGCTCAAGTGGAGAGCAAAAACGCTGGGCAAGAGAATAGCCCAAGTACTAATACATACATGCGCAAGCACGGGCATGCACACACAAACACACATGCGCACACACACTTACTTGCACATTTGTGCAAGGTTAGAAGAGAACCTGGAATTAATCTTTCTGCCTCGATTTCCTGAGTATTTATTACAGGTGTGTGCCACTATGCCTCATTTGGAACGTCTTTTTCTTTTTTAAATTTAAAGCTAACAGTTTAGAAGTTTTACTTGAAATCTCCTGTTCTAAAAGTTGATAATTATTCTAATTTAAAACAAACTATTGTTGGGTGTGGTGATCCACAGCTGCAATCCCAGCACTCAAGAGGTTGAGGCAGAAGAATTAAGAGTTTCAGACCAGTCTGGGTGGCATAGTGAGACACTGTCTTTAGAAACTAAACAGATAAAATATCATGTGCATTATTGGCTTCCAGTTTGCAACTTCTAGAATAATGGTCAAGTGCCATGGCTTTTATGTCAAAGAGCTCTGGGTCTCAATGCTGTACCATGTGGTAGCTGTATAATGACCTTGGAAAATTCTCCTATCAGGATGCTGTTTGTCCTGTAGGGTTGCTAGCATGATGAAAGGCAATGTATAAAAAAATATCATCTCCATGGGGGAAAGACTTTTCATCTATATCATTCACTACCATTTTCCCACTGCCTAAGAAATTGCTGGTACATAGTAGGTATTGAATAAGTAAATGTTAAAGTAGCCATTGCCACTTTTTTTTTTTTGGTCATAAAATGACCCAAGGTCCATGTTAGATCTTGACACCATAGTCAATATCTTTCTTTTTTTTTTTTTCTGCTGGCCCTGGGACTTCAACTCAAGGCCTAAACACTGTCCCTGACTTTTTTTTGCTCAAGACTAGTAGACTAGTGTTCTGACATTTGAGCCACAATTCTACTTCTAGCATTTTTGGTAGCTTGATCCTCAAATTTCAGCCTCCAGAGTAGCTAATGATTATAGGTGTGAGCCACTGGCACCAGGCTCACAGTCAGTAACTTACATGGCTTCCATTTGTTCTCTGTCCAAGTCATTAGAACTGGCCTTCAAAATTCAGAGCATTTATCATAGACTCTGAGACTAGGCATCAGACTCTCCTCCAAATCACCAAAGGTCAGGTCTCAGGACTTATTGGAAAGAATCCAATTTGAAATTTGAGGAAATGCACCAGGACCTAGTTAGGATAAAAGCTAGACAGGCTACTTCTTGCTCAAGCCCATATCTGAATGGTAAAAGGAACTCTCTAGCTGCTAAGTAGGGACACTGTTACAAGTGACTTAATATCAAGTGTCATTAGCCTTGGACTCGAATCCTGCTAACAGGTAGGTCTGGGAGATAATTTCACCAATGCCATCAACTCAGATATTGACACCTGTCATTCCTAGGGTTCAAATGGAATCATTTACCCCGAAGTTCTTTGAGAAATATGTAACATCCCATCAATACGAATCACATTTTCTTCTAATATCTGAGTGTAGGCTAGTCTCTTCTCAGGACTTCTTTAGTATAAGAATCACCTTTAGTGTGATCCTCTAGGCCTAATAGTCATTTGACTAATATTTGTTGCACATCTACCACATGCCAGATACTAATGAGCAAAGAAAATGTAATACCTAAAAGGAGGAGCATTCTATGCAAAGGCTCTGGAGTAAAAGTGTGCCCTGGTGTTTATTTAAGGACTAACTGGGAAGCCAGTATGAGCAGAACAGAGTGAATAAGTGGTACTACATGACGCCAGATCCTGTTATGTCTTATCAGCTTTGACTAATTGAGCTTTAGAGACAATAGTGCCCAAAAAACTCACTTCCCCACTTAGTAGCTATGAGATATTTACCCTTCCTCTCAGTTGTCTCATCTGCAAGATGAGCACAACTATGCACATTCTGCTGAACTTCTCCCCTCCCTTTCTCCTTGGTTCTTCTTACCTTGATTGCTTGAGAAATAGCAGCAGCAGCATTGGCTTCTTTCTCGTCTGCCTGTACCAGAAGCTTCTTGGCATCAGCTTCTTTGGTTTCCTGTTCAATCTTCACCATCATCTTCGCTGTCTCCTCGGAAGTGAGGATGAGTTGTGGCTGAAGGGCGGTGAGTTCTACTTGCATAACAGCCACCTAGTTAGGAGACAGGAAGACATAGGGTCAGCTGTGTACATGCCCCAAATGGCAAAGTTGGTAAGAGTTGAATGGATTCTCCAACCTATGAGATGAGCAGAAATATGGACCCATGGTTTGGGCATGGTACTGGGTATGTATTTGTTGTCTAATGGTTATCTCTTATCTTTCAATATTTGCTGAGTTCATTATATATGCTGTGGTTATCAAGTTTTGTGCCAAGCAGTAGATAGTAAGGTAAAGTTAAAATTAAAATTAAATTGCTTCCTCATTGAGCTACATCCTAGTGTTGTGTGCAGGAACACAAAAACCCAAAGCAAGTTTAAAAAAGTTTTTAGGGCTGGAGTATGGTTGAAGTGGTAGAGTACTACCTAACAAACTCAAGTACTAAGTTGAACACAAATAGCAGTACTATCAAAAAAATTATTAAAAACCTATATTTATTTCTGTGTGTGTGTTTGTGTGTGTGTGTGCGTGTGTGTGCACATGCTTGCAGGCACTTGTGTGCATTTGCACACACAATCCTAGGGATTGAACTCAGAGCCTGGGCGCTGTCTCTGAGCTTTTTGCTCAAAACTAGCACTCGAGCACTTGAGCCACAGCTCCATTTCCACTTTTTTTTAAAAATGATTAATTAGAGATCAGAGTCTCACAGACTTTCCTGGCTAGGTTTGCTCCAAACCGAAATCCTCAGCTCTCGCCTCCTGAGTAGCTAGGATTACAGGCATGAGCCACTGGCACCTGGCTAAGCCTGTATTTTAAAAAATATTATTATAAAGGTGATGTAAAAAGGGGTTAAAGTTTAAACATGTATTTGTGTGTATGTGTGTGTGGGGGATACTGGATCTTAAACTGAGGGCCCTAGGTACTGTCCTGCACTATATCACTTGATCCACAGCTCCACTTCTGGTTTTTGGTAATTGGAGATAAGCATCTCATGGAGTTTCCTGCCTGGGCATATCCCTCACATTTTAGCAGCCTCCTGAGTAGCTAGGATTACTAATGTGAGCCATTTGTGTGCAGCTTAAACCTACATTTTTTTTGGGGGGGGTCTGGTCGTGGGGCCTGAACTCTGGGCCTGGGCGCTGTCCCTCAGCTCTTCAGCTCAAGGCTAGCGCTCTACCACTTGAGCCACAGCGCCACTTCCGGCTTGTTTTCTTTTTGCTTATGTGGTGCTGAGGAATCAAACCCAGGGCCTCAGGCATGCAAGGCAAGCGCTCTACCACTGAGCCACCTTCCCAGCCCCAAACCTACATTTTATTTTTGTCTGTGAAGTAATTATAGGAAGCTAGATATCTGGCATAGAAGGAACTTTCTAGACTTTCTCCCAACAGTGCTGAGAACCACATGTGTGTTTCTCCCTTCCCCTATCCATAGGTTGACACCTAACTTAAAAACTGATGGTATTTAGAAGTAGAGATTTTGGAGGAAATTAGAGTTAGATGACCTCATGAAGGTGAGGGCCCATGATGGGATAAACGTCTTTATAGAGAGAGGAAGACACATAAAATTGTCTCTACCATGAAAAAGGACAGCAAGGAGGTCACTGTCAGCAAATCAGGAGCAGCCTCACTAGACAAGGGATCTGTCCTTGTTTTAGCTAAGACTTCCTGGCCTTCAGGACTGTAAGAAACACATGTCTGTACGAAGCTTTCTAGGCTAGTGAGCGTGCACTGGTTAAGGCAACTAGTCAGTTGTCCTAGCAAACATTCTTGCCAAGTGGTGTGAGCAGTCTTAGTTTAAACATCTTTAAGAACAGCAGAGTTCCAATGCCTTTGCATGGATTGTGCCATTTTTCAGACAATGAAACACATTAGACAGTTTTTTTTTGATGAAGAGGCTGGAATTTATTAGCCCTGTGCAATCTGGTATTGATCCTGCTGTCTAAAACAGCTTAGACACACAAGATAGGATTTCAAGGATTTGCAGAGCATTTCATGTCCTTTGTATATATGTCCCTAGCAAACTGAGGTAAAACATTTGGCCTGATTAGCAACAGGGGCCCCTATGGTCAAGCAGGTCTTCTCTTCTCTTTTCTTTTCTTTTTTTAAAATTGTCAGTTGTGGGGCTTGAACTCTGGGCCTGAGAGCTATCTCTTGGCTCTTCAGCTCAAGGCTAGCATTCTACCACTTGAGTCATAGTCCCACTTCTGATTTTATGAGTGTTTTATTGGAGATAAGAGTCTTATGGACTTTCCTGCCCAGGCTGGCTTTGAACCGTGATCCTCAGACCTCAGCCTCTTGAGTAGCTAGGATTACAGGCGTGAGCCACTGATGCCAGCTCAGGTCTTTTCTTTTGTATTCCTCATATAACACAACTTACTCACTGTTGTCTGAATAGACTCTAGTTTTCCACATCTCTCTAAAAGGCAAGGATCCAGAGTTGAACTCATCACCCCTAGGAGCAGAGTTAATGGAGCCAATGTTCTTTTCCCATCCCTCTGTTGTAGTGTTTGTGAGTTTGCCACACAGAGTACAACACTGACGCAATCAATGCTCATGATTTACTTACAGCAGATCTTTACAGTTCTAGATTGGTACTACAATCCATATCCCAGTATGGCTCTAATTTTAGATGACCTGTCAAGTAGCTCCAAGCACAGATCAATAAATAACTCAGAGGCCACGTACTTTGTGAAGGACAACATACTTGTATCAGCTCATTCAATTCTCATAATAGCTTTATTCAGTACAAATTATCAGGATCATCTTTTTATAAAGGAAACAAAGGTTAAAGAGGTGAAGCAACATGATCAAGGCTGAAGAGCTGGTAGGTTAAAGCTGGAATTTCAGCCGAGACCACACCTACAAATCCCACTTCATTACACTATTTCAAAAAGTTAAGATTAATGCAAAAAATCTAGATCAAAATATCAAAATTTTGGGACAACCAGTCTCTGGGTCCCGCTGCTCACTCTCTAGAGTGGCTTTTACTTACTTTGTTAAGTAAACTTTTAAGAGCTATATCAAAATCTTCTCCCCCCCTCCCCCCGCCAACACACACAGTACTAGGGTTTCGACTCAGGGCAATATGTTTGCTAGTCATTCATTCTACTACTGAACCATGTCTCTAGCCCTCAGAAGGGTAAAAACAAGAACAAGCCTGGCTCTGGTAGTTCATCTGTAATGCTGGCTACTCCAGAGACTGAGATCTGAGGATCACACTACAATGCCAGCCCATAAAAGAAAGCCTGTGAGACTCTTCTTTCCAATTAACCAGCAAAAAGCCAAAAGTGGGGGTGGGCTCAAATGGTAGAGCACCAGCCTTAAACAAGAAAGCTAAAGGATAGTCCCCAGGCCCTGAGTTCAAGCTCCAGTACCAGCACAAGAAATAAAAAATAAATGAACAACAACAAAAAAAAAAAGAACACACAGGCCAGGATAAAAATGAGGCAAGCAAGGTGAGCTATGCAAATGCAGATCAGATCCTGTCATGATTTGGTGCTTCTTAAATTCTTCATTTTTTCATACCCTTGGTATTCTAGGGATCTGTCATCCCTGTTCTATTTTGCCTCTACCACTCTTTTTTTAGTATAGTACTAGTAATCAAACCCAGGAACTTGTGTGTACTAGGCAAGTACTCTACCCTCACCCACCCAGCCCTCTGTCCAATTTTGGAAGTGCTTACTTGTGAAGCTGCAAAATCGAGTTTCTGCAAGCCTGTCAGGTAGCGGTTTCGCATCATGTCTACCTCTTGCCTCTTGCTATTCAGGAGTGTCTTGAAGGTTAAGATCAGTTCAAGGTATGAGGTGGGAGTTACATAGTTGTGTCTGCGAAGGGTGTTGTAATAATCTACAGATAGCTTCTTCACGCTCTCTTGAAAATATTTGCACATGGAGACGACTCTGATGAAAATATCAAAATGGTTAGGCAGGTTCCAACTTCCTAAGCCAGAGATCTGGCACAACTTTAGTAACAGATAAGAGAACATTAAAAAGCATATGCACTGTGTATGGCCCGCAAGCATCCAACTGCTCATCTGAGTGGAATAGAGAAGGAAAGAGGAGGTGGGTACACTTACTAGAATGATCACTGAATCCTTTGATGAATCATCAGGCTTGTGTAGCACTTTCTAACCTTTGAGAATCTGGAAAAGCCTCTTGGGGTTTATAGAATAATATACTTTTTTTGCCAGTCCTTGGGCTTGAACTCAGGGCCTGGGCACTGTCCCTGACCTTTTTGTTTTGCTCAAACTAGCACTCTACCACTTGAGCCACAGTGTTACTTCTGGCCTTTTTCTGTTTATTTGGTACTGAGGAATCAAACCCAGGACTTCATACATACTAGGTAAGCACTCTACCACTAAGCCACATTCTCAGCCTCAGAATAATATTTTAATACACAGACAGGATTATCAAGGAAATCAACTACACTGAAATACACTTTTCAATTTTTCTTCTGTGTATCAGGGCTTAAATTTGACACCATCACTGTGCTCTTGTGCTCAAGGCTAGCATTCTACCACTTGAGCTACAGCTCCACGTCTGGCATTTTAGGGGCTAATTAGAGATGAGAGTTTCACTGACTTTCCTGCCCAAGCGGGCTTCATACTGTGATTCTCAGATCTCAGCCTCCTGAGTAGCTAGGATTACAGGCATAAGCCACCAGAACTCAGTTCAAAATATTTTTAAAACCAATTTTTTACTGTAGTAATATATGTGGCTGTTTAGTGATGCATTAAATTGGAGGTCAGCAAATTTTTCTGGAAAAGGTTGGCTAACAAGTATTTTAGTGGTTTGAGGTCACACAGCATCTGTTATAACTAATCTTATAGTACAAAATCGGCCAGAGGCAACATTTAAATGAATGGCTGTGGCTGTGTTCCCATAAAGCTTTATTGACAAAGGCTGTGACCTGAACTTGGTCTATGTTTGCCAACCATCACATTAAATAATAATCTTGGGCAGCAAGTCTAAAGACTACTGTAATTTTGAAGGAAGTGATAAATGGAGGTATCTAATGACGGAATGAGTCATCAAAAGATCTGTGATTTCTAGTGGGCGCCAGTGGCTCACATCTGTAATTCTACCTACTTGGAAGGCTGAGATCTGAGTATCACAGTTTTAAGCCAGTCAGGGCAGATAAAGGTGAGAGACGCTTACCTCCAGTTAACCAGCATACAGCTGGAAGTGAAGGTGTGGTGCCAGTGGTACAGCACCACTTGGAGGAAAAAAACTAAGAGCTCAAGGCTCTGAGTTCACGCCCCAGTAATGACACATAAAATAAAAATGAAGTATGATTATACTGTTAACAAAGTCATGGCACTGTTAATCCAACTTAGGTTATTACCTAATTCATCATGGAAAGAAATGCAAAATACCAGTTGGGTGTCAATGCAAATAGAACTGTAACTCATCCCCATTCATATTCATGGATTCACTGATGTTATCCACAAGCAAGCCTGTGAATCACATTGAAGGTTTTCTGATCTGGAGAATAAAGTTCAAAATTCCCAAAATGGAATTTAAGGCTAATGCACTTTGATCCTTGCCTTCTTCTAAATGGTAATTAAACCTATGATGTACCAGGCACTTGCTAGGCACTAAGTATAGCAAAGAAGGCAGGGAGTTGATTGACCCTTTCCTTCATGGAGAACCCATCATCATGTCCTTCTCATAATTTCTCCTCATCTACTCAAATAAGTGCTATTGAGGAGGTATATCTGCTGTTTTGCACATATTCTTATGCACAGAGTGCATTTTGGTAGCAATATCATTCCAATTGAAAATTCATGTCCTAAGACTACAGAAGTAAGTGTATTATTACATTTAGGATCTCATAGCTATTCATCCCCAGGATGATATACCCCCCCCCACATATGTGTGTGTGTGTATATGTATCCATATATGTAGATGCTGGACTTGAGGTTTGAACCCATGGCCTAGGCACTGGCCCTGAGCTTTTTTGCTCATGGTTTCTGCTCTAACATTTGAGCCACAGCTTTACTTCTGGCTTTTTGGTGGTTAATTGGAGATAAGAGTCTCACAGACTTTCCTTCCCTGGCTGGCTTGGAACTGTCATCCTCAGATCTCAGCCTCCTGAACAGCTAGGAATACTGGAATGAACCACCACCACAGGGCTCTTGCTTAGCTTTCTCTGTTTAAGGCTGGCCACTGTACTATTTGTGCCACACCTCCACTTCCTCCAGAACAATTCTTTTTGTTGTTGTTGTTTTGGTTGTGAGGTTTGAACTCTGGGCCTGGGCGCCGTCCCTCAGCTTTTCAGCTCAAGGCGAGCTCTCTACCACTTGAGACACAGCACCACTTTCAGTTTTCTGGTGGTTAATTGGCAATAAGAGTCTCGGACTTTCCTGCCCAGGCTGGCTTTTAACCTTGATCCTCAGATCTCAGCCTCCTGAGTAGCTAGGATTACAGGTGCCTGGCTCTCCAGGCCAATTCTTTTTTTTTTGTCAGTCACGAGGCCTGAACTCTGGACCTGGGCTCTGTCTCTCAGCTCTTCAGCTCAAGGCTAGCGCTCTACCACTTGAGCCACAGCACCACTTCTGGCTTTTTCTGTTTATGTGGTGCTGAGGAATGGCACCTCATGCATACAAGGCAAGCACTCTACCACTGAGCCACCTTCCCAGTCCTCTCCAGGACAATTCTAAACAAAGAAATTTTATTCTTTTTCATGCAAAGGTACTTTATTAAAATAACTATGAATTGATTTAAAATTACAAGATATTTGCTACACATAAATTGAGAAATCTTTAAAAATAACAAGAACATCATGTGCATTTTCAGCTTGGAATATCTGGGGCACTAAAATGCAGCTAAAACTTACTCTGTTCGAATGCTGTCATCAAGTCCCACATCCTCTAGAAATTTGTTGGCCACCAACTCCAGGGCATCCGTGGGCCAGGACTGGAACCAATCGATTGTACAGCAATTGATCAGCGAAGGGAACATCCGCAGGCGGTTTCTGAAGGCATCCCCGATTGGACTCATGGCTTTGAAAAAGTAGGCTTTGTTAATTTCCTTCTGGCAAGTCAGGGAGAAACAAAGGGGACAGATAGATGTCTCCAAGGATTCTAGTAGGGGAGGTGAAGAAGGTAGGAAGACTCCAGGGGAGTAGTCTTGAGTAGCCATGAAGGCCATGCTAAATTCAAGAGAATCACTGGATGTTTGCATGTAACTCCATGATGGGTTCTGAATGTGTTACAGTGGCCTTCTGACTCATCTCCCATACACTGTTGTCCCTTTTGGATCCTGTGGGTCCCTTTGTCAGAGTAGCTGGAACCATTTGACCCACTAGCTCTGTGCATACTAACACAGACATGGTGGGACCACAGATGCCCCATTTATCAAGCTCCAGGACTGGCAAAAAAAATAGAAAGAGAGCAAGAGAGCAAGAGAGGAAGGAAGGAAGGAAGGAAGGAAGGAAGGAAGGAAGGAAGGAAGGAAGGAAGGAAGGAA